TGCAGCACATCTCCAGTCTGTCACATGTAATCAGGAATGTGAAACGCTTCTCGGTTGTTTCTGTCAGTGTGATGCTGACGCTGATTTCTCTCCTGCAGGACGGACTGCGCAGGCTATCAGGAAACGAGTACATCTTAGCCACAAAACGTAAGCAGAGTTCACCGCTTTATGACCTTTGACCCCATTTCCTGTTCCACTATTCACACCGTTTGTGTTCCAGAGCTGCACCACATCCCAAGTCACCTGACCACACCACTGTCCCTCAACGATATCCCACCATGCATTGCTCAGACGATGGAAAATGAAGACTCATGGGACTTTGATATTTTCAACCTGGAGTCAGCCACCATGAAGCGGTGAGACACACACACACACACACGACACACGCACTCACAAAACTCACGTGCATGCTCACACACATATACAAACACACATAGTACATCTCAACACAAACTCACACACACACACACTTCATTTCATAGCCTTCTAATATTTTTATATCAAGTTAATAATAATGACAACAGAAAAACACAAAACATACTAGAAAACTTGAACATTCTGTACTTTGTTTAGTGGTTTGTTTTGGTTGGTTGTGGTTTTTCCAGTTGAGTGTCTTGTTTCACTCACTTTGATTGTAGTATACTCCCATCTAAACACTCGTGAAGTGTAGATTCTGTACAGGTGTGTGTGTAACGTGACGCTCCTCAAGCCTCTCGGTGTTTATTTCCAGGCCTTTAACGTATCTGGGTCTGAAGATCTTCTCTCGGTTCGGTGTCTGTGAGTTCCTGAGCTGTCCGGAGGCGACGCTGCGCTCCTGGCTGCAGATCATCGAGACCAATTATCACTCCAGCAACTCCTACCACAACTCCACACACGCCGCAGACGTGCTCCACGCCACCGCATACTTCCTGTGCAAGGAGCGCGTCAAGGTGAACACACACACACACACACACACTCTCTCACATACACACACACACACACTCTCACACAACACACACACCACACACACAGACACCACACACGCAGACACATGCAAACACACACACGCGCAGACACATGCACACAAACACCACAAACACACGACACACGCAAACACACACACACACACTCTCTCATACATGCACACAGACACCACACACGCAGACATATGCAAACACACACACGCTCACACACACACGCGCAGACACATGCAAACACACGACACAAACACACGACACACGCAAACACACACACACACACTCTCTCATACATGCACACAGACACCACACACGCAGACATATGCAAACACACACACGCTCACACACACACGCGCAGACACATGCAAACACACGACACACGCAAACACACACACACACACACTCTCACACACTCTCACACACTCTCTCATGCATGCACAGACACCACACACGCAGACATATGCAAACACACACACGCTCACACACACACGCGCA